TGCGTAGCTTGCAGAGTTCTTTAATTAAAGCCGAGGTAAAATTCCTTCCTTGATCGGAATATAACTGAAGAGGCACTCCGAATCTGAAAATCCAGTGCTGTATCATTATCTCTACTATGGCGACAGCCTCTAGATCAGGAATAGGATACTCTTCAGGCCATTTGGTGAAGTAATCTATAACACCCAGGATGTATTTGTTACCATCAGTTCGTGGCAGAGGTCTCAGGATGTCGAGGCGATACTTTCAAAACGTGCTCTTACAGTGTAACGTTGCAGCTTGCCTCGGCTCCGTTTCTTCGGTCCTGTCCTATCTGCACAGCCATCGCAAGATCATCCTTTGCATTACGCCAATAGAAGCGCCCACGACTCTGAAAAGTCTTCTTTATTCCGAAGTGACCTCCTGCAAGGCTGCTATATAGTTCTTTAAGGACATCCGGGATCATGGAAGTATCAGTTGCCATCGGGAAGATTTTCCGTCATCCTACTCAAATTTCTGGTACAAGACGTCGTTTCGAATATGGAGTGAGTCGCATAGAGCCTAGTATTGTTTTGTCGTAGGACTACAGATCGAAATATCCTGCCAGGTAGGTTTTTCTGCTTGAGGACTCCATTAAATTAATTATGAGTTTAATGTCACCGTCTTCCAGCTGGTCTTTTCAGACATCTTTGTCACTTCATGGGTCTCAATCAGCCGATGTTGGTGTTGTAATTTATCGTGCGACCGGACTACGCAGCTCGTATTTCACTTCCACCTTGGATCGGCAGCTTTCTGGGCAAGGTCTTCCAGACAGAGCGTTTGCGTTCCCAGGTAAGCTTCCCCTCTGATGATGGATAGTTAAAGTCGCCTGCTCGACTATATGCTACGAAAACCATGATACGATTTGATTTGATTTTGATGGATAGTTATGTCCTCAGATGCTGAAAGCAGTTTGTTGTTTTTGAAGTCCAAGGAAAAATTGTTTGCCTTAGAAAGTCCAATCCGAATATGCAAGGATCTGTAATATCCGCCACATATGTCGTGTGAGGGTAAGCGGCACTTCTAAATTTGATGTTTACGTTTAACTTCCAGTCAACCGTGGTTTTATCGCCAGGCTCAGTCTAAAGGATAATGCAAGATGGCGTCCAAATGAGTTTATCTTTAAATTGTTGAGCTAAATCTTTCCAAATAATGGCAACTTTGGCTCCTGTGTCGATGGTCATATTGCAAGGAACTCCATCGAAATGCCCATTGATGAATAGTCCATTACTGTTGCCACTCACTGCAGTAATCTTGGGCTCTTTAAAATGGAGTTTTTCATTATCCTTCAAACTCCGCTCCACGAGATCGAGATGGTCACTAATTTGTTTCATGCGTCCTTGCTGCGGAATGGTCTTATTTTCTGTGCCCTAGGGTGTTCTTCAATTCTTCCGTATATGGCCTTCAACACCACAGGGTTTTTTTCTTGTCACTTCTATTACGGCTCGAAACACTAAGTTGTATAGTTAAATCGTCTGTTTTATTTTCCGAGCCCTAGGTTGTTTCGCAGATCCGTCGCATGTGACTTGCAGTACCACATTTCCAACACTTTAGAGTTAGTTTGTTCTCAATCCTATTCCGTATCAAAGCATCGACTTGTCTGATAAATCACTTAACGAGCCACCACTTGATCCACTGGTTCCTGTATTTGAGTAGCTCTGACTGAATGTCGGTCTCTACGAGTTGCTTGCTGGGCTGCCTCGAATTTAGTGGCGTATACGTGAGCCTTTTAAAGTCCTTGACATCCGCCATTCGCAGTGCTTTCTGTATTTCGGAATCCCGGATGCCGTCGATGAAGTATTGCAGGGACAGGATTTCCCTTAATTATTTCCGAAAAGCGAGATAGGACAGTCTTTCAACATCCGTGGCGAACTCCTGGAGTGTTTCCGTGGACTTCTGTTGATGAGATTTTAACTGAAGCCTGCTTTTAAACATTTCTCTCCAATGCGCAGCTCCAACGGGCCAGATAGAGTTTCGAACTCCAGACCTTTGGCTTTCGGGAAGACTCTGAAAAATATCCTCAGCGTCTGCTCTCAGTGAAGCGGCGAGATGACAGGCCTTAGCTTGGGAATCCCATCCATTCGCATCCGCCACTATTGAAAACTGTGCCTTACACACTTGCCAGAAGGTCTTCCCATCATATGTAGGTAGATCAGTTAAAGAGGCAATTGGAAAACAAAATATTAAACAAATTTAAGCATTTCGAATATCAAAGTATGGAATCTTATTGAAATATGGAAGTTAAATGACTTCTAAATAGCATCAATGATTAAAAACTGGAAAGATGATTAACAAGTGAATAACGCATATATTAAAATAATACTGTTGTAAATTAAAGACTGCTTTAAAAAAAATTCTAGATTTTTAATAAACAGAATTTCTAAAATTAAATTAGAATAGTTTACTTAAAATGGTAAATTTAAAATAAGTTAGAACCATTTTACTTTGGAGATTTTTTAATATCTATCTAGAAAAGAAAACTAATATTAAACTGCAATACAAATTAATATTAGTATCTTCTCTCAAATCTAATACAGTGTATCCTCGCGAATTTTTCTCTCCTTTTTTTACTAATTTTATCGTCCAGAAATCCAGAGAGGAAAATTAAGCAAATAATTTAATTTCCGAAGGATGCGATTACAACAAGAACGTAACAAATAAAAAGTAGTCATGGATAAACTACATGTAACTATAAGACCATACTATTTCTAAAAAAAAAAAAAAAAAAAAAAAAAAAAAAAAAATTACATTCCAAATAAGAATGCATAGTAATGTAACATTATAATATCTAATAAGGTATGTTCATTTCTACTTCTCTGTAACTGAATCTCACCCCTTATTATTGTTGTCTGTGCTTCCTTAGGCCTCAAATCATTCAAAAATAATTAGAGAAGCTGAATGTACTCAGCGAAATAGACTAAATCTTAGTTCATGTGTGTTTCGCTGTGATTGGTTGGTTCCCGTATTAGGCTAGCATAAAGTTCAACAGTTAGAAGAAAAATTTCGGTGTGATCTTCGCAGGTAGTTTGAGAGGGTTTTTCTTTCTTAGTAAAACAGAAACGGTCGCTACGCGGACGAATTCATTTTAAAATTTAGAGAAGCTCCTTCACTGAACGCATCGAGGAAGGGGACAATTACGTGAATATTCTTATAATTTTCAGAATCTGACTCTGAAAAGCTATAGCGAAAAATACGTGAAGAAATACGGTGTTTGATAGATTGATGACAAATTTTGTGTTTGTCAAAACTGACATCTATATCAACAAATAAAATCTGTGACTTGAACTTTTTTGCAGGAAGACTTCGAACTCGTTGGAAGCAGTAACAAGTTCTAGTTCATTATTCTTTTAAGCGAAATATAAACGAAAATAGATGTTTGTAGTCTCACTCAATTATCCCTTTTATAAGAATAAATGAATTTTTGAAGCAACCATGTTCTTCTTGGAAATTCAAACTTTTAGAATAAAGGGAAAATCACAAGCAAAGTCGTGCAGTTCACAGTTTTCTAGCATTTCCTTTGTTGAATTTAACCTTTGCCTATTAAAGTGAGGGAAGGAAAAGTTGGCTATTGTTCGTTGTTCTCGTGCAGTTGGCTCATTGATAAGACCCCCGTTAATTAAATTTCATACAGCTGGTACACTACCCTATTTTACTTGCTATCATAAATTAGGCGTTTGGAGCACCTTTGAAATTCAATATATTCCATCATGTTTTATGAGATCTTTTATATGTTTTAAAAGAACTTATAAGTATAGTGCAACTAGCGTATAGAAGAAGAAGACGAAGGAAAAAATTGCAAGTAAAGACGTCCCCCATCAATTCTGTCTTTCTTGTTCCTTTCTTTCTTTCTTTTCCTCCCTCCTTATTTACTTTCTGGTGGAACGAATACTTGCTTTCATAAATTAAAACGGTTTAAGCGAAGTAGGACTCACGCTTTCACCTGGTTTAGCTTTTGATTTCCGATATTTATTACCCATTTTCTTTCGGCAATTTATTTTACAAATTTCTTTTTGCCTTCGAATATTAGCGTTGGATGCCTCTCGTGCATTTGGCTTCACACTCATTTGGTTTTAAATATCACGTTATAAACAAAAATGCATGAAAATATTTTGCGGCAAATTAGAATAATGACTTACGGCTGAAAATAGAATTGCATCATACTTTTGTTTCGTCCTAAAATTTCTTTATAATGTTAAGTGTAACAAACCAACAGGCATTCATCTCGCAATGTTTCCTGTTTCAACAATGGCGTTTTGAAAAGAAGATAAAACGGGACGAATCAGAAAACCACCATAAAATTTGTTCTTTAGGAATGGTCAAATCACATGATTGTTTTGGTACTTAAAAAAAAAATATAAATAAATAAATAAAAAGCGAAGAGTTTAAAAAAAAAAATCCCTTACTTAACTTTTGTGCGAGAGAACTGGAAACGAAAGCTGAATTGGGAATAACAATCAAGGGATATTTGTGGTTCTGGTTGGGTTGGGAAAGGCTCAATCGCAGCATCACTTTTTTCAAAGAGCCCACATTTTTCCTTTTTTTATGAAAGTAAAACAGGCTTCGGAGAAGGGGCTTCCTTAAATCTGGCGCCATAGGTCCAGTCCTTGTGGATTTAGACAGTGGGATCACTAGAGATTTAGAGATTATTTTGAAAATCTCCAGAAACTATTTCCATCTAGCTCACTATTTAATTTACGTTTCTTCTCTTAGATGTGAATTTTTGCATTTAATTGAACTGTATCAACGGAATGCCCGATCAGAGATAGTTTCAACGAGGAAAAAGCTAACAGCTATTTTAATAATCAGTATTGGCGCTAAAGCTTTCTGTGTCCATTCCTGAATCTTCTAGAACAGAACGTAAAAGAATATGGGCACATATATTTTTATTGTCTTCAATCTGTGTTTATGCATTTATAAGGATACAATATATTGCATATCTCTGATTAATGCAGAATTCTTAATATTGTATTTCTTTTAAATATAGAATGCAAAGTGCTGTTGTTAGAGATTTAACAAAAAGAAGAAGCGGGTAAGTAATTTATATAATTTATCTCGAAATACGTTTACATTTATTTATTTATTTATTCAAAAAAAAAAAAAGGACATACAATTTCATTAATATAGTGTATTTGTTAAAATTTACAACATTTAAAGTACACAGATGAAAAGGCCTTTTTATGTAAAGTCCGGTTAATGATATCTAGCATATGAAACAAGCCGTTTATGTTACTTAAAAATACAAAATATTATTATTTAAAAAAAAAAAGTTAATTCGAATTTACTTTGTAATTACATTCAATCTGGCTGCCGAGTAGATCTTAATCAATCCATTAGTTTCTGTTATAACAAGAAACCTTACTTTTTTTTTTTTTTTAATGAAATTCACCCAAAAATTATATGCAAATATAATGGATCGTTACATCTTTTCTTTTTTAATAGCTTAGTTATACCGTTCTAAAAATATTAAAATGTCTACATCGCTCGACCGATAATTCGTGATTTTGTAACACGTTAATACAGTGTGACAATTATATAACTACATGAAAAAACACATGATAACTTTTGAACTATTGGCGAGATTCAGTTAGAACTTAACGATTGAATGCAGGGCATGTTGGAAATTTGTTTGAGCATGCGTATTCATATTGTTGTTCATTTTTCGTTGCAAATGTCGAAATACAGCATTTACGCATTGTCAAAGCCTAACGTTCGAGAAATAACAGTTGCGGCTCAAAGGAAATTTGCTACCGAATACAAGCTGAAGTCGGTCCCAGTGTTATAACACTAAAAAAATTGATTAAAAAGTTCGAGAGAACTGGTAGTGCTTGTGATGACGATGTTGACAAAATTGGTCACCCAGCAAGTGTGAAAACGCCTAAAAATATCGAGAAAACTCGAACTGTCTTTTAAAATAGCCCAAGGACATCGATTAGACGAGCTTTGCAACAGGTCGGAATCAACCGGGAGACTTCGCGACACATTATTGCTCAAGATCTGCATCTCTTTCCGTACAAAATTCAAACTCATCAGTCATTGAACACCATTTCCATTGAACAACGTTTGTGTTTCACCAACACTATTGTTGATATGATTGACTAACAAAAATTTGATGTGAATATGGTTTGGTTTAGAGACGAAGCCCATTCATTTGGATGGGTACGTCAATAGGTAGAATCGCCGCATTTGGGGGACTGAAAACACTCATTTAGCGATCGAGAAGTCTCACTCCAAACGGCTAGCAGTTTGGTGTGCAATGTTAAGTCGCGGAATAATTTGTGCAATATTTATTGCAGGCACGGTGACTGCTGAACATTATGTCAAAATTTTAGAAAATGATGTTATCCCTCTTATCCAAGTTAACCCAGATTTCGAAAAGATGTGACTCATGCAAGACAAAACACAACTCCATCGGACTAACAGAGTTTCTGAAGTCCTGGAAGAGCACTTTGAAGAGCACATTCTGGCTTTGGGGTACGCAGAGGCCACAGGAATGGGACTCGTTTGGCCACCATATTCTCTTGATCTCAACCTCTTATAACTCATTTTTGTGGGACAATATTAAAGTTAAGGTTTACGCAAATAACCCCAAAACGATCGCTGAGCTCAAAACATCCATTCAGAAGGTCATGGAAATGACTGATGTCTCGACACTTCAGCGAGTTTTGGCTCTTCGTCTGGCCCACGTCATAGCCATTGATGGCAAGCATATCGAACATGCCATAAATTAAATCCGAATATATGAAGTCACTTTTCAAATCTTCAAATTTGAATACAATTTTTGAACTCTGCAGTTTTTGAAAATTTGATTTTTTATTTCACATAGCTCAATAATTGTCACCCTGATCACAATAATATAGTAAATACTAGAGGGATTAAGAAGATTTAAGTGGCACGTACTTTAAAATACTTTTTTTTAGTCCAAAGGGACTTGAGTCCCGAAGGACTATTGCTTTCGTTTTGGCATTTTGCGTCGGACTCATAAATGTCGGTTCACTTTTCAAACTGTTGCAATAAAATGTTAGAGTCCTGCATTATATTTGAAGAAATTAAATAATGAAAATCTGCGTAAATGTATGTATATTTCTCACATTGTCATAAAATAACGGTACATAGAGTCATCGAATTTTGAATAACGTAATCCTCCAACGAATATGAGCATGTGGAAGACCAAATTTGAAATTTGAAATTTGTTTTATGATCGATTCCTATTTTTTAAAACTTTGACGAATTTTTGATTAACAAACTCAAGGATTTCAAAGCGAGCAATGGCAATGTTGTGCAGAAAAAATATTTATATCTCCAGCGCGTGAGTCTCTGTATCGGAAATTCTAAAGATATGCTCGTTTTAAAACTATTTTGCGATATTGCTGTTGCACTGGATCTTATGGTTTAAGTGCGAAGAACATGATATTTAATAAAGAAAGGTAACACACAAAATGTTAAAAAACGCCCCTTTGGACGTTATTTAAAATCTGAAACATTTCAGATTTTTTCCCCCATTATTATTATTATTATTATTATTATTTTGTTTTGTTTTGTTTTTTGTATGAATTTGCTTTTTACGTTGATAGCATTCTAATCTAAAATATAAGAAGATTTAATGCTTAATTTAAATGATAAGGCATTTAAATTAAATTATATTATAAATGTATTTACAAAACAAATGAGCCTGTTTGGTAGTTTTTATTAATTTATTTTCAGTGCTTTTTAATATTTATTATTGCTTTTGTAGTTGATTATATTATGTTCTATATTCCAGGTACATGAATTCAGGTTTAGAAACTGAATCTGAAACTAATTTTAGTCACAGAAGGAGACATCACAGAAGGTAATATAATAATTTCAGATTGGTATCCTTTGTATGTGCAGATATTTTTATTGTAAGATAAGGATGATAAGCATTTTCGATTACCCAAATATTGCAAGAATATATGCTTTCGTTTAAACTATTTTTTCAGACATCGATCGAGATCGAGATCTCCAGACAGCAAAAGCGTTCTACCTCAGGAAATCAAAAGATACATTGAGTAAGTTTCACAGGTATTTCCATTATTCGAGTATCAAAATATAAAATGACTGCAAAAATATATATACCATATTTACTCTAGTATAAGACCCGTCTCTGCCATCAACTGCCATATTTACTCGAATATAAGACCCATCTCTTTTTTTTAGCCCAAAAAGAAGATCTATTAGTCGCGAAATGGGATTTTGCGTAGGTTCACTATAGATGCCCGTTTCACTTTTCAAGTTGTTGCTGCCAAATATTTTCGCCCTGCATTATATTTTAAGAAATTAAATAATGAAGAATCTGCATGAATGTATGTATGTTTCTCGCATTGTGAAAAAGCAACGGTATCTAGAGCCATGGAATTTTGAATAATGTAGTCCTCCGCCCAAATACGGGTACCCGGAAGGCCGAATTTGGAATTTGCTTTATTGTCTATTTCATATTTTGTAAAACTTTACCGAATTTTTAATTAAAAAATTCAACGATTTCAAAGCCAGCAATGGCAATACTGTACTTAAAAAAAAAAAAAATTATCCCCAGCGCGCGTAACTGTATGTCGGAAATTTTACAGATATGCTGTTTTTAAATATTTTTATTATCCCAAATGTTCTCGAAACGTCTATGTATGTGTAAACAAACAAACGCCCCTTTGTGCGTAATATAAAATCTGAAGGCTTTCAGATTTATTTTAAAACTAGGTAGGTACTACAATCAAGTATTTTAATAAATTTAGTTGCAAAGCGAGACAAACTATACATGTAATTATAATGTGCAATAGAAACTCCCTACACACACACACCGATTAACCGAAAACAACAACCACGGTTAATTCAAAATCAAGATTAAATCGACAACAGTTTAAAAATGAAAAGGGGAAAACACGAAAGATGAATATCCTATGTTATAATTAACGGAAAAATACTATTCAGAAATTACCTGTATTTTAAAGATCTAATTTGGACACAAAGCTCAAATTGATTACGTAAATTACAAATTAGAATTTAAAACAGAATACTATATTACTATTGTATTTTGATAGGAGTCAATAGAAAATACAAAATTAACGACTGTACATTTAATTTATTTGTAAGATTTAGTAATTTATTTTGAACAAAAGATTAAACAACGTATTCCAGATTACACACAATTAAATTACGTATAAAGCAATAATAGAAAAACAATTCGTAAATACTGCGACATCATCTGCTATCAACCTGTCATTACACGTTATATTTCCCGTAGAAATTTTGCTTCCTTCTGTTTGTTTGTAATAATCTTTTTTCGATCGTTTGATAGCAAGAAAAACATTTTTTTTTTTTTTTTTTTTTTTTTTTTTAGATGTAGAGTCATTAGGATTTTTTTTGGAAGCAGGCAAGATGAAAAATTAACAAACGCCTTTGTCGGGAATCGAACCACCGATCTCTGGAAAACCGGCCCAGCGTGCAGAACCACTACACCACGAAGGCACGCTAGGAAGGCGAGAGAAATACCTTTTAAAGGGCGACTGTCTTTTTTAAGGGGGGGACCCAATCGCCAAATCCTGGGTGTGGAGAGTCATCATCCACAATCCTTTTAGTTCGGGCGCCACTGTATAGTCATTAGGGTTTTTTTTTTTTTTTTTTTTTTTTTTTTTTTTTGAAAGCAGACAAGATGAAAAATTAGCAAACGCCTTCGGCGGGAATCGAACCACGGACCTCTGGAATACCGGCCCAGCGTGCAGAACCACTACACCACGAAGGCACGCTAGAAAGGCGGGAGAAATACCTTATATAGGTAAGACCCAGTTACTCAGTAGTCAAATGAATATAAAGTACATAACTACCACTACACTATACTGGTTACTTGAATGCGGATAATAACGTATTATTAATTTTCCTATTTTTTTCCCTTTACCAAAATAAAGTATTATATTTAATTAGGTAGCATGCCTTTCATTTTAATCAGAACATGCTGTTATCAAATACCCGCTTACCTTTTTACCCTAAAATGTCTTATTTTCCCGTAAATACAGAAGTTTATGGTGTAGGCAATGTCAGTTATTACAAAACACTAAACAGAAATAAAAAATAAAGAAATTTCAGGCTAAAAGTTAAAAGAAGAATTGAGTTTTAATAATAAATGAATAAATGGTTACACACGGGAAGGAAAAAAATTCAGTCATATACACAAAACTGCACTATAATTACCCAGCACTAGAATGTATAATAGATAAAATTTTTATAAATCCCGACCTCCCACAAAGTTATTTCTATTCTAATTTCTTAAACAGTTTCGACAATTTAGAGTGTTATAATAATCCATCATCCATCAACTGCTGATGTCACATTAAAAACTATGGCTTATATTACTCACTAACTTAGGCCAGCTATGGCTAAACGGCCAAAACTGCAAATTTACAATATTCTCAATATTAGCGCAAAACGAGAATAGATTAGAATGCACCGGTTTTCTTCATATTACCAACACCCTTTAAAATATCATCCTTTAAGAAATTCCTCCTTGGGCATACAGATATAGATTACCCTGCTATTAATAATTAACCGAATGTGACCTTATCATTATTCGTTATTATATATATATGTAATTCGTTGATTTTGTTAGCTTTAATTTCAAAGCATATTTATGTCTCTTATACCTCCCCCCCAAAAAATTATAATTCAGCGCTCACATTTAATTTCTTTTCCTTAATATAAAAATTATGATTTTTTAAAGATTTTTACTTTTTAATATATAAACAGTGTGATTCAAAAGTATCTGACAAGAATGTAAAAAGTACGAAAATCGAAATGAGCAGTTTTGTAACGGAAAGTTTATGTAGAAATAACGCGTTGAGATAATACAAGGTGCTGCTGAGTGGTAAATAAAAGCATAATTCGTGATTTCACGGGCTACACGTAAAAAGAGCGTACAGATATGTATTTTATTTTAATTTTTGGGCTTGCGAAGCCCAAAAAAGTACTCGAAAATCTTTTTCTTTACCCACTTTGTGAAGCTTCTCCATTTTAGAAAAATTTATTGAAATTTTCATTTTTTCCTACGTTAGTATAATTTTAGTAAACCATGCTTTTATGTTTTTAGCTACAACTTGATTGATCCAACGTGTCTGACTGAAGAAGAGAAACGTGATATAAAATACACAAAGATACCGTAAGTCTTCAACATAACATTTATAAATTGAGTAAAAATGTCATTAATGTTATGTTCTTAATTTCCTTTTATATAAAAATATAAACTTGTGGGTTGATTAGCCTCGTCTTTTGGCTGATAAATTGCTAGTATTTCAAAGTAATTGTAAAACATGCACGCCGATCAGTAGGCTACAGCAAAGTAATTATTTCCGTAGATATACTGCCTATTTATATTCAAATTTGAACCCTCCCAAATTAGAATTTTGTCTGGCACCTAAAGCGTTGCAATTTTCACCTATCTCACGGCAATCTGAAAAGCCTGCTTTCTCAAGAAGATCTTACGTGCTGTTTTTAGCATCAAACCATCAATGCTCTTTTTCTTGAATATTTAATGGTTTCCAGCAATAATGTTATCTGTGTCTTCAAGATCTTAACTTGCTGTAGATTTAACTTCAAAATATGCTTTGCAACAGCCGATTTTTGTTGCTGAAATAATTATACACTCTTTTGCAAAAAAAAAATCGAAGCACCATGAAGGAAGTGGTTGTTTTTTATGAAACTGAACATGTGTAGCTACCGTTGCTACCAACATCTTTGCACAACACTGCCTGTACGCTGCAGGTGGCGGCCTATTGCTCGGTATGACCATCCAACTTCGCGCAACTCTACAATGTGACCCATGGAGGTAGGAAAGGACTTCCTACCTGCATGATGTGACCACATTCGAAGTCGCTTAGTTGTCTGTAAGGTCTTCATCATGGCATCTTTAGTTGCTTCTTTACGGAATTACAATGGCAGCAACAAAAAAAGATAAATTTCCCGCCTCTGTTAATGGTTTTATACTTTGCGAATTGCGCACTATAAATTCGCGCTACGATCGCAATTCCTGTTCATTTGCCTTGAAACTTTGATCATTTGCATGTTCGATCAAGATGTTTTTACATACCAAATTTCGTCACGATCACAAAAGTCCTTCTTGGTGCTTCGATTTTTTTGCAAAAGAGTGTTCATGCTATTATGTTCTTTCACTGCAGCTGTTACATTCCTTCTTATTTGTCCGATTCTGCAAACTGATTCAATGCAATTTTATTCCTACGTACAATATTCGTCTTCAGTCCAACGTTATTTTAAATTCACATTTATTGTTATTTTTTTTTTTATGTGTACATAGGGTGCACCGAAATTCTAGGCATCTTAGGCATTTTTAAATAGTTTTTTTTTTTTTTTTTTTTTTTTTTTTTTATATATATATATATATATTACTAAAGGGGGACAAATATTATCTAACAGAAATTATAACATCTAGCTGGCCTCTTTAGAATCAATAGATAGTATGTCCATCAAACACACTGCTGTAAAATATATTAACTTAGTGTTACTTAGTGTTAATATATTTAACACCCAGTCACACATCCAAACAATAGCAATCTATCAGCTAATTATGTAGCAATATATCCCAAATAATTGTAGTTCTTTTTTAATTGATTAAAGTACAAAAATCCACAGCAGTTACTTAATTATTATTTCATTTCATCTTTTCAGAGCAGACAGTCGTCTGTTCAAGATACGATATTCATCAAACCAAGGACAGCTACAAGGAAATCAAGCATCTATGAGGTTGATTCTTTTCTATATTTGAATATTTTCAACAATGTACTTTATCTTAAATGAAGGAATATGACCTGGAATTTATATGCTCCTTACATATGCTCCTCTTGAAAAATCTGCCAAAAATAAATGCTTTTCGGACGTGTTCAAAGCTGTTTAACCTTAATTATAGCCAATATTCTTTCTTGGTTAGAAATATTACTGATATCACCTCTTACATATTTCCTTCTTGCATATTTGATTTGAACATAAATCTACTGTTGATTTTTACGTACCATTAATATTAGCGATGGTAATATTCTCAATTTGATAAATAAAAGTAAAAATTAATCAGCATTCAACAAAGAAGATGTTTCAAATGCAAAATAAAAAGGACGTAAAATCAATTAGTAATTATAACTAACCCTTCGCTGCAAGATCAAAGAACAAATATCAGATCATTTATATGTAAAATTAAAAATAGTCAAATCTGTGTATGTAAATGAGTTTCATGTGCACATTTAAAAGCAGTTAAATTTGCATGTGACGGGTTTTTTCCCTTTTGCTTTTGTTAGCCCAAAGGCGCAATTTGCCGAGAAGGGCTATTAATTTCGTTTTGGCATTTTGCGTTGGTTCACTATAAAAGGCGAATCACTTTTTAAATTGTTGCCACCAAACATTAGAGCCCTGTATTATATTTAAAGAAATTAAATAAAGAAGAATTTGCATAAAGTATGTATGTTTCTCGCATTGTGATAAAACAACGGTACCTAGAGCCGACAAATTTTGAATAACGTACGCCTCTACCCGAATATGGGCATCTGGAAGCCGGAATTTGGAATTTGTTTTATTACCTATTTCATATTTTGTAAAGCATTTATGCGTTTTTTATTAAGACACTCAACAATTTCAAACTAAGCAGTAGCAACACTATACGGGGAAAAAAAAAAAAATATTTCCATCGCGCGAGACTGTGTATCGAAAATTCTACATATATGCTCTTTTAAATATTTTGTGATATTGCTGTTAAATTGAATTTTATAGTTTAAGTGCGAAGGACATGATATTTAATAAATAAAGGTAACACAAAACGATAAAAAAACGCCCCTTTGGGCGTAATATAAAATCTGAAAGCTTTCTTTTATATAATATATATATATATATCATTTAATACAAAATAAAAGAATAAATTAATAAAAACCAATATATATTTTATACTTTGACATGAAATTTCAGAGTTTGTTTTAATTTCTGAAGTACATATTTCCCCTTCGAATAGGAGCAAACACCTCTACTGAAATTCCTTCTCCTGAAATTTTCTGAATAAAAATCTTTAGAATTTGGCCTTTTGGGACTGAATGGCAGATACTTTTTAATAATAAATAATTATTTTAACAATTATTTTATTTATAATCACATTTTATTTTCATAATAATTACATTTGCTTTGTGACCATTTCCTGTTAATTTTAATATTAATTCCAGGAAATCAATTTTTAGACATTTTCATTACTTTCTTTCGTAAATAATTTGATTAACTATTTATTTAGAAAATTTCCAATCATAAAGATGCTTTTTAAAGCAACATATAAAAAAAGAAATTAATTTTCAAAATATGACACTAAAATAAAGTTCTAAATGATTCCCTTCTGAAAGCAATGGAACGAGTTAACGGTATTTTAATTGTAACTTAAAAATTGCCCAATATTAAAAACTATTTTCTTTTAAATTTTACGTGATTTTGAAAATCACACAATTTACTTTTTTCTGGACATAGTAAGTAGAAAAAGTACATACAGACATATATATAAAGAGAGAAAAAAGAGAAAAGATAGACAAGAAAAAAGAGGAAAAGAAAATATAGAGAAGAGAGAAAAAAAAATAGAGATAGGTGTGTGGGTAGAAAAATAGGAAATGTATATATAAATAGAGCTTCAGCACAAGTTTTAGGCTTTTTTTAGTAGATAATCTTGCCTTTTTATACATGTGTATATATATATATAGAAATAATTACAGTAAGAGAAGAAGGGGGATAGATAATTAAATGATATAAAAAGAAAAGAACAGAAAGAAAAAATAAAAGAAAGAAATAAAAAAGCATAATGGAAGAAGGGAGATAAGAGAGAGATAGAGGAAGGAGGGATTAGACATAGGGAAAAGAGAGAGATATATTATATATTAATAATTTAATTAATTATATTATATATATATAACTATATATATATAATTAGTTAATATATTAATAATATATATATATATATAATTTCTATTTTTCATTACTAAAATTCAAGTTCCTTTTAAAAATATTTATTTTTTGGATTCAATTTCAATGCTTCTGGGTTACTTCATTCAGATACATTCTACTAACTTTATATTGGGAGATATATACTTAATATTACTTTAGTAAATAAATTATATGTATATATATATATATATATATATTAATAATTTCAGAATGTCAAACAATAGTTTACATAAAATGCAAGCATTAGAAGATCCTGGTCCACCTCCCCCTTACTCGTCCGATCAGCAAAATGGTTTCTTGCCACAAACGCAGCAGCGTTTGGTGGATATCGAAGAAAAAAATGAAACTCCTCCAGAATCTTTAAAAATTCCCAAAGCATCATCTAATAGCTTGCATCAAAACAGCACGGCAACAAACTTCATAAAAGGAAGGTAAGAAGAAAGAGCATTTCAGATTTTCTATTATAAATATCTAATAAATCTTATAAATATCTAAAAGTTTAACAATTCAAAAATTAGGAATAAAATATATTTATATTTATGAAATAAAATGAACACACAACTGCAATTTTAAATTATGTTCTCAAACCCTGAACAGCTTATGGATATGAAAAAAACAAATATATAGGAAGAGGCCAAGTCAAAATTATAATAGAGAATTGTATATTTTTCTTATGCTTTCAGACAGTAGAAAGTTCCTCATAAGCTTGAAGACGTTTTCAAGATTTCAGTTCCTTCGATCATATATACAGGGTGAATAACGTTTGAACGCAAAAAGCTAGAGAGGAAAATAGTGTCCATCTGAATTGACTATGTGAAACCAACTGCAGCGCCGTCTGGAAGCGAATTTTAGAATTAAGCGATTTCATCATGGAATAATGAAATTCAGGGGGAAAACAATTAGTAGCAAACGTGTAGAGCGATACTGCTTTAGTATAAAATACCACTTTACCTACACCAGGTATCTTGGACAGAACCTACGAAATATATATCCCTCGGTCTCTGATTGCCAGCGTCAGTACTCATTAAAGGCCCGTCCACACGAGTACGCTCGAAACGTAGCTGACGAACGCGCTTTTACGTTACCAGCGTAAAAGCGTCCAAACGAGTACGCTTGCGAAGAGTGCGTTTAACCAATAGAATTATTTTGTGCAAAAATCACGTGACGCTGTAATATAGCGTCAACAGAGCTGTATCTTATTACTTCGCTGTTCTTCTGTATGTTTGCGGCAAGTTGTCCGAATCAGATGATTTTTTTATAGTTGAAACTTTACTATTAAGTGCAATTATTAAGCAGAGGCAAAACCGCAAAAAATGGCAAGAATGGGTCCGAAAGATTTATTTAGAGCGATCTGTTCAAAGAGATTTTTTTTACTGCCTTTTTTGCGAAAGGAATATACGGAATTATTAAATTCCTACTATTAGCTCACACTCTCCCTATATCTTGTTGAAATTTTCAGTACATAAAATGCTTTTATTCCATCACTTTCAAATCAATTTTTTAAATTGTAGTGAATGACACTTGATGTTAATACAGCTTTTTGACATATTAAAATTTTTAAAATTTTTAATTTTAAAAATTTCTGTTTGTATTTTTATTTATTTATTTTTGTATTTTTTAAATTTTTCTATTATGGACCTAAGTAGGAATTGACAATTGATTTTTTTTTTTTTTTTTTTTTTGTACATTACTTTTTTTTTTTTTTAATTACTTCAGGATGAGTATCTACCAGTTTGACAGACTTGCAGATTCTATATTGTATGAAAATTAGGATTTATAAAATTGGTTTGGATACAGTATATAAAGAGAATTAATTACTTAATTCTCTTTATATACACATCCACCATATAATAAAACCAACTTCATATTTTTTTAACTCCCACTCCCTTGGCCTTTTTGTTTTTCTTTTATTTATTTTTTGAATTTAGAATGAGGTTCAAACTTTGGACAATTTATGAGAAATTATGTGCATGATAAAATATGCAATAAAGTAAACGTAAAAAGAGAATTTATAGATGATATATGATAAAGAGATGGAGATATATTATTACATAAGGATTTCTATTTACACTGCGCATTTTTAAACTAAATTAAAAACAATAATAATAATGAATAAAATAAGAAATGAAAACAATAGTAATAGGTAAAATAAGAATATAATGATTCATGATTAAATATAAGAAACACGTTTCAAAATGAGAAAAGCTAACTGAATTATATATACCGTCTACGGGTGAGGCTCGAACTCGCCACCTTTCCATTTCTCCACCACCAAAGCAGCACGCTGACCACTCAGCTATCTGTGACAACAGTGTTTGCGAAAAATAATGTAAGAAGTAGAAGTCGCTGCGAAGGTAATTTAATTAAACTTCAATAAATGATTACCGTATGACACAAGTCATAACTTTCCTCCAAAATTTCGTAATTTTATTTTATTGAATACTCTTTCACAGTCAACTGCTTTATTTTAGAAGTTGTTATATTGCTGAAGTTAGTTTTTGGTGTATTTAATATTGGGATATTTATAGAGCTTTTTATTACACATGATAAAGCCAATATTTATAATAATTAAGGAGAATTTTGTAAGGCGGAAACTTTGATTTCGTAGAAACTGTAATTTATTTAGGTTCTTATTACTTACGGTGTTATAAATAGGTGAAGCATATGGATATACTGGTCGGATCATTGCTTTATAAGTACACAGTTTTTCCCTTTAATGAGAATTTTAAATGTATACTAATATGTACGGTTTGAGAAATCTGAAGATGGCGTGAACAATGCTGATTATTTTATTGCTGTATACAGTTATGATATTTCTAAGCAAAAACTCATCTCTGTGTGGTTCTGACGCCATATTGAAACGAGTAAGCAAGAAGTTTTTCTGATTATGACACGTGATAAGAACTCGGTCGGCTATTGGCTATACGCGCGCGTCGCGGGCGAAAAAGCTGAACAGGAGCGTACTCAGTTTTACGTCTTCTGCGTCACGCGAATTTACGCCGGCGTCAAAAAAGTTACGTCAACTACGTCGGGAGCGTCCTCGTGTAGACGGGCCTTAATGGTACGCGTGACATTATAATGCGGATGCAAATTATCAGCTAACTGATAAAACCAACATTTGTCAGCTGGCTGAATTTATTATTTTAAGGAATTCATATAGCAATACCAGATTATGAAGAAGGGGAAAAAAATAGTATTTCAGAATTATCAGTGTTAGTACTAACATGTGTAGGCAATCTATAATTTATAATAGTAAGAAATTACAAAGAAAAAAACCACAGTGTTCTGCAATGATAAAATATCAATATTAATTATTAAGCATGCTCGATGTTTCCACTACCGGCAGCAATATTCTACATCTGTTATTCGATCTATAATTTCTTGTTAAATCTTCTACAACATTTCAGATGTTACGTTAGGTTAATTCATTACGGCAAAGCCTCGAGGGCTATCTGCTTAAGGGAAGGAATGCCTTCGTGGAGGACTTTCTAAGGGAAACTGGCTCGTATAGACGTTATAAATAAGGAAAACCAATTAAAGATTTTATGACCAAAACTGCCCGACAAGAAACTTCCGCATTGATGCCACCTAATGTGGTGAGGCGCCTTCGTGAAGAAATCACACAGAACGTAGATGGATTAATAAGAATCATTTAAGAAATCAGATGTTATGCTTCCAGTAGTTTAAAGTAACTTCGTGCAGTTTATCGTAGAACACAGGTCCTATGAAATCAGTATTCCAAATTTCGCACTAGATAATGAAGAACCACTCCAGTTGCATCAATCATACCATATCTGATAATCTCTTGGCAGCAAACTTTGAGTTAGTGTTGCAGTGTACACGTGAGCTTGCAATTCATGAAAATTTGTCCCATATGACTAAATTTAAAACCATTTGCCACACTAATGTCTATCGTACTGCAACATGGGTAGTAGAGCATGGTCCAGGATGTCTACCGGTCCTACACTACAAATGTTGGCTTACCTGAATGGAAGCGACATGCAATGCTTCCTTGGCGAAAGGCACTGATGCTAGCAGCCGCAAAACAAACATGAGAAGATTAAGGAAATGTAATGCAAATTCTGCCGTATTGCCTTCCTTACCTGACGACTGCATTCCCCGTACAAAAAAAAAAAAAAAAAAAAAAAAAAAAAAAAAAATCCATCTTGCAGTACTTTTTATTGGTTTTACTAGTCATGTTTAGACACGAAGATCTCCGTCTTCGACAAACCTTCCCTGACGGCCAATTTATGCTTCCCGATGAAGTACGACGTTTGTATTTGCATATTTTCACCCATCCATTCATCAGTGTTCTGAAGGTAAATTTTGTTCAAAGATTTTACACTTTGTAATTTCATTGGTGACGTATTTGCGCCAGTGATCGGATGCTAAAAGTTCTGCACTTCAGAACTTCTATTCAAACTACTGGTGTACAAAGGATATCATTTTATAATAAATTAGCAATGCTGCTACATGTTTCCTATTCATATTGTTTTCGTTATCTTTGACAGTTTTCACAAGAAGGTTGATAACGTCCGAAATTCGTTTCTAGAGTCGCTACAATTAGTTTAGATCAATGATAGAGCATAGTCACTAAATACAGATAGAACATCTTCTACAATTCTAGCTTTCTGCATTTTAAGTGATTTCAGCGTTTAAAGATTTTAATAAGATTATAATTAAAAAGATTTTAATAAGATTATTATAAAAATTCCAAATGTAAGTCTACAAAATAAGACTTGGGAAAGCTGAGCAGATAACGTTGGACTGAGCTTTCAAAGTAAACTTGGGATACACTGTGATATTAAAAAACAATTAATGGAAAAGCTGTTTTTATACAAATAATGGCAACTTGCTATTGTGGTTATATAATGGCAACTTGATATTGTGGAGTTTTATAGTTTTGCTATTTAGGTTTTGGTTTTCCTGGCCTTTCCCTTTAGCACTTCACCTGCTTTCTCAAATAATATGTGTAAGCACGATTGCAAATTATTTAATTGTTATTAGACAAAATATCTATTGAGAAAATGGCAACAGCTAATTTCTGGATGTCGTTCTATTTTATAATTTTAAAAATATACATTGAGATGATGTACGCTTGAAATGTTTAATGGTACGATGCAGTAAGTACGTTTGTTATGTTATGTACGTTTACGAATACGTTACGTGTAAGTTATTAAGATTTATCTTTAAATAAATGTTTGTCTTTACAACCATTTTACGAGTGATTAATTTAATACAAAAGGAAGTTAACATAATCAGAAGCGGGATTATTCTGAAGCCTAAGCCTAAAGCTATAAGAATTTGCTATACGTAAATAAATTGAAAAGAATTTGAATTTCAAGGTATGTGCGTTGATTGATGTAACATATTTATATAGAATTTAATTTGTTTTTTTTTTTATCATTTGGAAAGAGAGTTTTTTTTCTTTCTTTAAATTTTGAAATATATTAGAACGTCAAACAAACTTATAAAATACCATAACTGTGTTCTACTAAATTGTCTAATTAGAAGTTAATAATAAAGCATATATATATAATTTGCATTTTTTAATTAGTACGAAAATGTCTATTTCGGTAAGGCAAGAAATGCGATTTAAGAATATTAGCTGAAGAATTGGAGAAGATGTAAATGAGAGTCATAAAATGAAGCGATTTGAAAAGATAATTTTGGCTAGCAAAGAGTACGATGAAGAATGCGCCAAAATGGTTAAACATTATAATAAATGAAAGAAAAGAAGAAAGAAATTGAAGAACAAAAAACAAAAGAAAGAAGAAGAAAAAGTAAGATGATGAAGAAGGCGAAGAAGAGAATATGAGGAACGAAAACGAAGTATGAAATGGAATTTGAACTGCAAAACTACGTATTGAAGCAGAAAGTAGATCTACAAATTTCTGGCACCAATGAAAATGCTAGTGGTACGCACATGAATCCAAAGTTAGAGCTTCATCGTTTGATTGCAAAAATTTAAACCTGACGAGAATGATATCAGTTATATTAATCATGTTTGAACGTTTGGCTAAACAAACAAGTTGAAATACCAGAAAATACATGGGTTACTCATTGCTTTGGCTTATTGCCGTATGATATTGCTCAGTTAATCGCCAGAGAAAAGAAACCGATGAGATTGCAAACGATTATAAAAGAAGTTAAAAGGATCTTATTAAAACGGTACAAGATGACACCTGAAAAATTTCGCCAAAAATTTTTTACGCACAATAAGAGTGTAGGAAACACATGGAAGAATTTTGCCGTATGAGTTTTTTTTAATGAATGGATAAGCGGAATTAAAGTAGATACTTTTGAGAAACATAGCGACCTTATTGTAGCGGATCAGATAAAGCGTAAACTGTCTCCAGAAGTAAAAGATAATTTTATTGACATCTGTTCTGAGTTGATTTCGCCAATTGATTTAGTTGAAAAACTAGATGATTACGATACCTTGAGGTCAACTTTCAACAATAAACAACCGCGTAAAGAAGGGTCCTACGATAAACGAAACTCCTTTAAAGATGGTCCAGCTGCTACAATCAACGAAAAGAAGAAACTCTACGGTATCACACATAATGAAAAAGGTGAACCAAAATGCTTCAGCTGTAACAATTTTGGACACATCTCAAGGGACTGTCCGCTGCCCAAACCAGTAGTAACATGCCGAAAATGTAATAAACAGGTCATAAAGCTAAAAATTGTGTTACTAAAGCTGAAAATAATCATTCAAATGATAAAATTATTCTGTTGAGCAAGTTGGCGAAAATTTAGAAGAGAGCAATTCATATTTGAAGAAAGCAAAACTGAATAATTCTGAAGAAGTACAGGCTTTAATTGATACGGGGAGTTCTTGTTGTCTCTTAAGGACTTCAGTTGCTCAGAAACTTAAAGTGAAACCAGAACCTGCTATGAATGAATTGTACGGTTTTGGAAATCAAAGGGTGCCTGCAGTGACCTCTATAGGAATGATTAAAGCCGATATTGAAGTGATAATGTAAAAAGGCCAAGGCATAAATATATACCTTGTACCTGATAATGCACAGCCAGTTGATCTAATCATCGGACGGACATGGCTTGATCTACCTCACATCGCTTATGTCAGAATAGGAAAAAGATTTCACTTCGGGTATAGAGAAGATGAACTATTTAGTAACCTCCAAATTGATGAAAAAATAAATCGAGTCTGCTTTAAAGCTCTTGAGGAAAATAAATTAGAGAAAAATATTATCAATCTTGTCAGTTCTCAAACAGATTCTGTAGATAATGGATTAATTATGATAGAAAATCCTTCGAAGGTATAGGCTGTTTATTAGAAATTAAAAATGGACGAAACTTGTATACCAGTGATTAACGTTGGCGATAGAAGTGTTAGGCTCCAAAAAGATCAATGCGTTGGGGAGCAGAAGAAGTTGAACTATGTTTAAATACTGAAATTTCTGAATTGAGCTCGAACTTAGCAAAAACGGAAAATATTAACAACATAAAAGTTCCTATAAGTTTAAGCCAAGTTTAAAATTGGCTCGGATCTCGACCGTTTATCAGATCACAACAGAATACAAGTTTGTGTGTCTCTGAATTACAGAGATTTAAATTCAGCTTTTTGCACTAAGCTAAAATTTCACAGAACCAATAAACTGAGACCATATAAACCGGAAAAAAACTGAAAAAGGGGTTCAAACCAGTTTGTTTCATTAAGCCGTAACAAGTACGCCTTTAAAAGCTTCTCGACGTTGAGAGCTTCTGAATGAATACGATTCACTAAATATTTAGAACGGAGCAAGATCTCCAAAAATGGACATTAAAGAAATCAAGGTTCAAAGATGTATAGAAGAAATGGCTCTGAAAGCTGCGATCATGTTCAAGAATGGAAAGAAAATGGAATTGTAACAGAAACGCGATCCCCATATGCTAGTCCTGTCATACTGGTAAAGAAAAAGACCGGTGAATACAGATTAGTTGTTGATTACAGACGTCTCAATAGTCAAACTATAAAGGATAATTTCCCCTGCCTAAAATAGATGATTTATTAGAACAATTGCATGAGTGTAGTCTGTTTACAACGCTAGATTTAGCACACGGATATTTACAGATTCCATTAACTGAAAGTGCAAAATTGAAAACTGCTTTCGTAACACCGGATGAAAGTGGACAATTTGAAAGAATGATTTTTGGCTGACTAACGCTCTGCGGAATTTCAACGATTGATGTATCATGCATTATCCTCATTAGTAATAAAGAAGTGTTGTGCTACCTTGATGATATACTGTTCCGCAAGGACTTGGGAAGAAATGATTCAGAAATTAATTAAAGTATTCGAAGCACTACGTGCAGCTAAACTAACCCTGAAGTTACCGAAATGTGAATTTGCCAAACAAGAAATAGAATATTTAGGCTTTATAATCAATAAAAACGGAATAAAGGGGATCAAGAAAAGTTGAAGTAATATCAAAATTCCCAGAACCTAAAAACCTTCATGAATTCGACGATTTCTTGGTTTAACAAGTTTTTTAGAAGGTTTATTCCAAATTATGCCATTAAGCTGGACCATTGACTCAACTAACTAAGAAAAATCAAACATTCAGATGGGAAGAAAGTCAGCGGAATTCTTTTACAATGCTGAAAAAGAACTGACGAATCAACCAATTTTAGCTTTGTACAACCCTAAAGCTCAAACAGAAGTCCATACTGATGCATGCTCAGAGGGTATTGCTGGCATGTTACTTCAACTCGGAAGAAGTGACGGCAAATGGCATCTTGTCTACTGCGTGAGTAAAAAGACAACGAAGCTGAAAAGAATTATCACTCGAGTAAACTGAGCTAATGGCAATTGTCTGGACTCTAGATAGACTTCGACAATTCTTACTCGGAATTGAATTTACGGTAGTTACCGACTGCAAGCATTAGGTTTACATGAATGCAAAGAAATCTAGCAATCCCCAAATTGCTCGTTGGAGTATCCTTATTCAAGAATATAATTTTGAAATCCACAAACCAGGAATTAAAATGTCTCATATCGATGCAATCAGTAGAGCTCCTGGTATTAATTCATCAGACACCATGCATTCTTTGATAGAAGATAATTAGAAGTTTGTCTGACCTTAAATTTAGACAAACAAATTCTTATGATACAGCATGCAGATGAAAAGTTAAGAGAATTAATAACAATTTTGAAGAAAGACCCAACTGAAAGAACCAAAGAAGAAAATCAAAATGTGGAGAATTATATTTTGAAAAGGAATAGACTGTTCCGTATTGTGGAGGATGGAGAGAAAAGAAGAAGTTATTATACGTCGTACCTAAAAGCATGAGAAAAAGCATAGCTGTGAAGTTTCATGACCTTATGGGACATTTTGTTGCTGTTGATAGGACTGTCTCAAAAATCAAAGAACTGTACTTGGTTTCCTGCTATGAAGATATATGTTCGTCGAACATATATCAATGTGTTTCGAATGCCTCATCAAACAGTTCCGGTGGAAAAAGACAGGG